ATTTTATTACATTGTCGACATTTTGATGAAGTAGAAAAAACAACAACGAAATTTAAAACAAAAAAAAAATAATAAGTAATCAAAAATAAAATGAAAAAATTGTTAAATTTGTAGGTTTGCATAAAAGGTTCATGTAAGTTAATCAAATAAAATTATAAATAGTAGTTATATAAAAAAAAACATGTCAAATTTTTGAAATGTCAAAATGCTTAATGTTATGTAGAAATTTAACAAATGTATTATAAAATTAATTGAGTGTTTTAAATGCACACATGCACAATTATTATATTTGTATTTTAACCTCTTATGTACCCTTTTTGTTGCCCTATATAATAGGTTTTAATACTTTATGTTTTGACGAACAGTGTTATGTCATACCAGTAATAGTGATAGATTTTATATAATGTTATACTGTATTATGGTATGTTATGTCATTTCAATTTTATGTAATTTGTTATTAGAAATGACATTTATTATTCCTGAAACTAAACTTTACCTAATCGACGTACAGTTCACACTTCATTCCACATCCTCTTTCCCATAAAATTTTTCTCTCCCTTTTTTATACCCTGCACTTCGTGAAGCGTATATTAACTTTGGTATGGAGTTTGTAACTACTTGAAGGAGTCATCTGGGGTATGGACATATATATATATTCTTGCTCAGCGTAAAATTCTGCGTTGATTTAGACATGTCCGTCCGTCCGTCCGTCCGTCCGATCGCACGATAACTCAAAAACGAACAATGCAATCGACACCAAACTTTCACAAGTTGCTTCTTTTGTGCCAAGGACGAACCCTATTGTTATTGGACCAATTCGGACAACGGGTTCGGGTAGCTGCCATACAACTCAAAGAGTTTATTTTAATTATTTCAAAAACTAATAAAGGTACAAATATAGAATTTTGTATACATGTGTCCAATTATATTCTACATATGCTCTAAAAATTTTAATGAGATAGCTGCACCGGTACGGGTGGCTGCCATACAACTCCAAAAGCAAATTTTTTATATTCGGCAAAATAATAAAGTCAGATTAATGAAACTTGGCAGTTGTGTGTCCAATTATAGGTCAAAGATATTTCTGAAGTTTTGGTGGAATTGCTTGACAGGTTCGAGTGGCTCCCATACAAGTCCAAAAGCTTATTTTAAATATTTGGAAAAGTAATAAAGACAGATTCATGAAACTTGGCAGTTGTGTGTCCAATTATAGGTCAAAAATATTTCTGAAGTTTTGGTGGAATTGCATGACAGGTTCGAGTGGCTCCCATACAAATCCAAAAGCTTATTTTAAATATTCGGCAAAATAATAAAGTCAGATTAATGAAACTTGGCAGTTGTGTGTCCAATTATAGGTCAAAGATATTTCTGAAGTTTTGGTGGAATTGCTTGACAGGTTCGAGTGGCTCCCATACAAGTCCAAAAGCTTATTTTAAATATTTGGAAAAGTAATAAAGACAGATTCATGAAACTTGGCAGTTGTGTGTCCAATTATAGGTCAAAGATATTTCTGAAGTTTTGGTGGAATTGCTTGACAGGTTCGAGTGGCTCCCATACAAGTCCAAAAGCTTATTTTAAATATTTGGAAAAGTAATAAAGTTAGATTCATGAAACTTAGCAGTTGTGTGTCCAATTATAGATCAGATATATTAGCGAAGTTTTAGTGGAATTGCTTGGCAGGTTCGGGTACCTGCCATACAACTCCAAAAGCTAATTTTAAATATTTGGAAAAATAATAAAGTCAGATTCACGAAACTTGGTAGTTGTGTGTTCAGTTATAGATCAGACATATCCGTGAAGTTTCTATAGAATGGTTTCACAGGTTTGAGTAATTGCTATACAACAATGAAAGGTGCAGGGTATAATTCAATCGGTTCATACCGACTGAAACGTTTTTACTTGTTTCTATTTGAATTTATATTTTGTTATCGTAAATAGTAATTTGCATAGATATAAAATAAAATTTTGAAATGAAGTGCAAGGTAAAAGAAAAGGAGCATATCCACTAACAGGTCCTTTAAATTCTGTCCATTTGAAATGAACTTTAGAATCTGTTCTTTATATAGACCTAAAATATATTTTTCTTACAATATTATGTACACAAATTAAAAAACTTTTTCCCCATATTTATATTACTTAGAAAATTTTTGTATACTTTTGTTTCTCAAGCATAATTTTGCCGAATTCTTCCTTTGTTGTTGATGCTACTTTTATTTCAATATTAATATTAACAATTTTTTATTGCCGTTCCACTATTTTTATATGCTTAATATTATTAAAAATTTAAATCAAATAGAATATATTTTATTGTAAACATTCCGATATTAATTTCAAAAGACACAATTAATCTACAATTTAGTAGATCTCAGATAATACTCACATAAACTTGTTAAAAAACTATCGCCTATGAAAACAAATAAGCTTAATTTAAATAATATTTTAATTATAATGGGCACATGGCGCATTTTCACTAATATTAAACACATAAACGGCACTTCTGATCTTTTATAATAAATTCAAAATGTGCAACATAAGCATTTCAAATATTTTATTGTAATATCAATTTCACGTTAATAAAAAAAAAATTTTTTTTTATTTGATATTTTTATTATTTTTTAATAAGAAACAAAAGTTAAAAATTATTACAAAACACCACCATGAATTTCAAAAGAATTAATAAAAAAAATGAATAAAAGGGAAAACGCATTTCATTTCTTAAACATTTTTTCTTTAAAAAGAAAATTCCAAATCATTTTAGATTTTATCTATACTTAGGGATTATAGTATAAGTAATTTGAATATGAGAAGTCAAATACATATGTACAATAAAATGTTAAGAAAGATACAAAAGCCAGAATATGTGATTTCCCCATAAAATTTTCAATTTTCTTTAATATTTTTTTTTTTTGGATTATTTTGTGTTCAGAACATGCTAATTATGCTCGATTTATAATTAATAATTAAGGTTATTAGGACAGAATGTATAAAGATTTAATTACCAATTTTAATATTATATGCTATCAATTTTAAATGGATTCTATGTAAAAAAAAATTTAATATGATTTTCTATTTTATTCTTAAACTCATATATGCGTTTAAAGATGAATTTTGATATTTCTAAATTAGAAATAATTTTTTTTGTTTGCATATTATTCTTCTTTCAAAAGAAATTAATCTTCCGGAGGCATATTTGTGTAAATTAAAATGAAAGGGAGGCGTTCTCAATTAATTCTAGAATTCATTATAATTATTCATAGAATTTTTATATTTTCTGTTTTGTATTTGGTATAAAAATTCAATCAAGATTCAAATATTTTATTAGTCATTAAATTCTAATAATAGTTTGGCACACTTATAAGTTCTATTTGTCTATGATTTTCCCTCTTTTTTAAAAGAAACTATAAAATAAAAAAAAAACATTTTAAAATCATATGCAATTATTTAGAAATTATGTAGAATATTTGATTCAGAATGATTTGAAAAAAAAAATTTATATCCCATTTTTATGTAACATTGCAAGATAAATCAAATGATTTGTGGTTTCGAAATTTCACTGGCGTTCTTAAGTTATTGCTAAATAATACGTTGTTAAATTGTGCAGATACAATTCTTGATCAAGCTATAGTAAAATAAAACGATCTATTGGAATTTTGTAATTGGACATTTTAAGTATTTTCCAAAATTTCTGTTAATTAAAAGTAAATTTTAAATGGAAAAATTGTTTACTTGATTTAGATTTAAAATTGATCAATCTTTTATGCTGTTTGCAAATTATTACAGAAGTTGGATGAAATTATTAGAGTAGTTGGTTTATGAATTTTAAAAATTTGTGTTTCATTCAGAAGACTGTAAAACTTTTCTCGAAAGCAAATGAAATACAATAGAAACTCAAGAAAAATTCGAAAATACTTCCACGCACTTAAATTATAAGTAGCTGCTATGTATGTAAAACATTAATAAATTAGTTTTTGCCAAAATTGTCTATAAAATATTAAAAGAATAATTAAAAAAATTTTTGTGATATTTTTAGTCAAATCTATTTTTGGATCTAATTTTAATATTTTTAAACTTCCCAAATATTTCTTAAGATAATACAATAATGTCATTAGCACATTAGCAAAATACTGGTTTTTTATTCTGTGTTTTTTGTAAATTAAAGCTTCAATCTTAACCTATTTTAAAAATTTTCTTAAAAAAAATTATAATATACTTAAAACTTAAAGAGAGAAAAAAGTTTGCATTTTTGTTTTTAAATTTTTTGTCTTCTATACAGTCGAACTTCGGTTAAATTTTACTATATAACAAAACTAAATAAGTACTAGGATATTCACGATATTCGCAATGGTATAATAACAGAATTTAATAAATTGTTATAATTGCCCAAAAATATTAAGTGTTTAATTTTATTAAGGTTCAAATTAAATTTAATTTAAATCCTTATTCCGACTGGAAGTTTTATAAATTTAATATTTTGTTAATTTAAAGGTCAAGATGATTCATATAGTTTATAAATTTTGTCTAAATGAATACACTTTTCTGGAAATTTTTATAGAATATTATGTACTCTGTTCCTTTTTTTTTAAATTTTCAAAATTGACAAAAAGAAAAAGCGTGATAGACTCGGTTGCAAAATTTTAAAAGGATAAGCCTTTTAAGTTCAAATTACAACTATTTTGCTTATATTATTTAAACTAATCTTCTAATTTATAGTTGAAAAGACAACGTTTGATATATTTTTTAGGATTCCTGATTAACAATTAAAAAGTTACAGAAATATTTTAGTGTAAATTGAAGTGATAAATATGTTATACAAAATCATGTAATATTAAACTTCAGTTAAAACATGCGACACTGTGCAATCAAAAATTTTTCTCAAAATGTATTAGGCGGGATCATTTTGAAAATCCATAAAAAAAATATTTAATAAAGAAAAAATGTAATGGTTTAGTATATCTAGACTCAACTGTTTAATGTTATTTTTAATTTTTTTTTAATTTTAGATTTTTTTTTCATTATTGTTCCTACAGAAAACAAGACAAAAATAAATTAAAAAAAAAATCAAGAAATCTGTCAAACCACATTAAAGAAAATATCAACCTTAACAATGAACTTGCATTTACATAAAATATTTAAAAACAAAAAAATTTAAACAACATTTTAAATTGAACAAAAAACTCTACGTATTCATTAATGGAACACATTTTTAACATAAAACGCAAAGACCAGAAAAAAGTTGTGCAATATTTAAAATCAAAGAAAAAGAAAAAAATAAACAAATTAAAAAATTAAAATATTTAAAACAAAAAAAAAATAAAGAAAGAGAGACAACGGCTGTAAACGATTGATCATTTTTTTTAAATATTCGTGAATATATATATATATATATATATGTATATATATGTATATATAAGCATAAAATGAGCGCCCACGCTCACAAAATCATTGACATCCAAAATGAAAAGAAAACATTTGTTTTTTTTTTTTTTGGATAGTAAAAGTTAATGAAAAATCATAACAACAGCAATAACAGCAACGCAATACACAGCAAACATCGTCAATTTTATATTATAAAGAGTTGAGATAACAATAAATGGCGCAATAATAAAAAAAATAATAAAAAAAATTAAAAATTTTTTTTTTCTTGCTGTGACGCTTTAACCTATTAAATCCCGGCAAAAAAAAAATCATAAATTTAAAAAAGAAAAAACAAAGAAATTATAAATATTTATAACGGTAAAAATTATTCAATATTAATATTTTTTTCAATTTTTTAATTGCAACATATAAAACATACACACAAATATACACATATTCGTGGCAATATTCAACCCGCATAGCAATATTGCTTAATATCAAAAATTTAATTATATTTTTATATACGTGTACACATTATATACATAGTTGTATGTTCAACACCTACAAAAAAATAATTCCCAACATTTTACTAGCACGACATAAAAATAAAAAAAAAATACAAAAATAATCATTTACCTTTATATGGATTTGACAATAATAACAATAATAATAACAATAACAAGAATAATAAGAATAAAAATATGAATTTTATCATGCAATTCTTATTTTGACATTAATGTTATATGTTATGTTATATTTGAATAGTGTAGAGAGACAGATCTGTGCAACTGTGTATATACATACGAGGATATGTATAGTATTTATTTTATTCATTTTATTGATTGTATGATCTGGCGCTCTTTCTCTTTCATTATATTTTTATGTAAATAAAAAGATGATGAGAAAAAAAATCAAAATTTATGGAATTATTTTTAAATATTATTTGTAATTATAATTATATAAGTATTTCGTATATCTATATTATTAAATTTAATACATTTTGAATTTAATAATATTATATATATACTATCTATACATACATAAGTAAAAATAATTATAATTTACATATTTCACTGTTTTTATTGTCATTTTAATTCGAAAAAAAGAATCTACAATATTTACTTATACGTATACATAAATGTGTACACAATAGTAATTATTTTGTTGCATCAAAATGATATTTTATAAATTTCACATTTTGATTGACATTTAAATAATAGTGTTTGTACTTTTATGTGATTATTTTGTGTATTTATATATTGATGCAATTATATATTGCCTTTATGGCAGCAATTTCTTAATAATAAAAATACGAGAGTAAATTGTATAGGTAGACGGGAAAAAAAATTTTTTTTAATAATGATGAATGTTGATCATCTCATAATAAAGTGATGTGCAATAAACCGGAATAATGAAATTTTAATAAAATAATTGAAAATAAAATCAAATATAATTAAAAATCATAATAATAGAAAAAATAAATAAATAATAAAAAGAAAAATAACTGTTTTTTTTCTATAAAAAAAAAAGAAATCATCATGACATCAGTGGCTATGAATATGGTCTTTTTTAAGGATCTTAAAACAAAAATAAAAGGATATATTTTTCATGTATGTATTAATAAAATAAAAATTCATTTTAATAAAATATTTTCATTTATTTTACTTAATTTAAATTAATTACTTTGATGCTAGTAAGTATATAATGTGTATATTAAAATGAAATAAACATAACAGTGCCATGGGCAGTTTCACTTATATATGAAAATTAATTTTATATGTCATTCAAAAGATTTTTACTCTTAAATTAATAAAAATTGAATACTTGTGTTCATAGTTTTTAAAGAAATACTAAAAAAAAAAAAATTGTTTAATTATTACAATATTTTGGAAATAATCCAGTAGGTAATAAAAGTATGATGAGCTTTACGTAACGTACATACTTATATGAACAGTAATTATTATTACTTACGTTAAAATCGGGTATAGTTGTTTATTACATTCGTTGTTATATTGATATGCTGAGTTCAATATTTTTAATTTGCAAATATTCATTACAAAAATTTAATATTTATGTTATTTTACAGGATGTGATACAATTATTATAACAATGTATGTTTTAAGCTCAGTGTAATCAGTGCTTAGTGTAAGCTCAATTATAAAACATATTTATTTTAATATTCTAAATGTTTTATAAGAATACTAACTAGAAATTCTCTGTTTTAAGCGAAAAAATATAACTTAGAAATGAATGCATTATTGAGATAAAGTAGATGAGATAAAGTAGCTAAGATTCCAAAGAATTTTAATATTATTCCACATAATTTCAGGGGTTTTACCTGCGTACTGCATAATACTGATTTGCATGAATAATAATTATTTTATAATATTCAAAAATTTCGCAAAATTTTAAAATATTGGGACTTATTTTGTGAACCGAATGATTAAGTATATATGATATTTATCATAAAAATTTCCAACATTTTATTATGGACACAAATCCTTCAAATTTGAATTGGTTTATGTTTACAACAGTAACAATATTACATATTGGGCTGTGAATAGTGAACTTTTTGCGATAAAGAGCTTGTAGTCATGCACTTGTCTATCATTCTCTACTTATTTCGTTCCTCCGAATAAACCCCCTATTATAACAGTAAACATATTTTACTTATATGAATTTTATTTTATTTTTTTAATGCAAAAACGAAAATTTTATCGTACATAAAAATTTTTTTTTTCTTTGCTGACTCAATTTTATATATTGGTTTATCGGTTTATGAATATTTTCCAATTAATGTATTAAACTAACCATATTCAAAAAAAAGAAAAAATTAAATCTTGTTATTTTATAACAGTCACATACATATTTATTTATATTAACTTATATTATACAAAATATGCAAATGTGTATAAATGTATGAATAAATATAAAAATTAAAACATTTTTATTAAAAAAAAATTCTTTTATTTCTTCATTTTTTATTTGATTTTTCTTTATTTTTATTGAAAATTAATATTTTTCGGATTCATTGGAATTCATTAAAATTAAAAATGTGAATTGAAATTGCTTTTTCATTATAAAAAAAAATCGAAGAAATATTTTTTTCCATTGTAAATTCAAAGAATATAAATTTCATGTCACTAATTTGCAAACTGGAAAATAGTGAAATTAACAGAAATTGAATTTTATGATAAAATCCATTTTGCGTATTTTTATAGTAATTTAATTAATATTAAGTTTTTTAATTGATTGAATTTTAATGGCTATATATAAAAAAATTGTATTTTTTTTTTATTATATGAAGAAGATTTTTTTTTTTTAAAAAAGAAAGTGTAATATGAAGAACTCAATGAATATTTATTTGCTAAAAGCCAATTACAATTTATTATTAAAAAATTGCAATTAATAATTTATCGTAAATTTGGTTTGATTATCTGGTTAAGTTAACTTATTATTATTTAATTTATAACTTTATAATTTAGATTATGACACATCATATATGAATATATGTATGTAGTTGAGATTACAAATATTATAACATTAATAATTCAAATATAACAGGCCAAAAATTTTTAAATAGAATTTAAATTTTCAAATGTATGTACTTAATTTTAAACAAAATGTCAGAGTAATATTGCTTCATCCTTAACTCAAAATGTTCGGAAACAAAAAATTAGATTTTATTTGTTATATGTTTGGTTAAAAAAAAGAGTGTCAAATTTGACGCATGTCTAAAATATTCACATGAACATATAGAACAATTATTCAAAAAAATTAAATTGTTTTACACTTCGGCCCAATTTTTCTTTACAATTAGTTGATCATTTCAGGATCATTAATCACGTCAGGAAACTAAATTATTCTTAACTTTCCTAAATACTTGCTTAAGAATAAAATCTCTGTATCCTCTTTTAAGTTGTTTTTTCTAGTCAAGAATGTTTAATTATCTAAATTTCACTACATATATTCATAAGTACAAAATGTAAATCATGTTATAGTCATTAATGAATCAAACAGAATGTGTTACACCTTCGTCAATATTTTAAACATTAAGAATACGAAGTAATATTTATAAATCGTTAATTAAATTTTATTTAATTTTTGCAAACTGTTAACACACAGTTTTTACACATGATTTGAAGAACTTCATTCTTTGTGGGAATGGTTTCAAAGAACACATATCAAATTTCATTCCCGGCACCTTTAGTCTCTTAAAAAAGTTTTGAAATAAAAATATGTATAATATTTGTTCAATTAACTTCAACAACTTCGAAAATTAAAGCATTCACAAAAAAGGGTATCAGTTAGTTCCTTAAATATGGTAAAAAATATAAAATCGGCCCCATTAATTCATTGTTTTAACACCCTGCATTTATATATTAAATTTCAAGAAAACAGGTTGATTATTTCTCTTTATATGCGCAAAAATGTATATTTGACACGTATTAAACGTTCAGTTGCTGGCACCTGATTTCTTCCAAAAGTTAGGGAAGCATTTATATAAAATTTCATAAGTTAATCTGTTGAATATTTTCTTCAAAATTAAAAACGGCCGACAAGCAACGACATCTTACTAAAAATAGTTTATTTGCGCTTCTCTATCGTGGAGAAGTGTGTTTTGCATCGAAAATTCAATATGTAAAATTTGGTGTAATCCCATAACCTCCCTTATTATATGCAATGCGTTCGGAAAAAAATAGTTTAGCATTTACTAATGATGTAAAAAACTAGACATTAACTAAAAAAGTGAACCTTATAGAGCAAAAAAATTTTAAATTTTGCTCAAATTAACTGTTTTGTTTCACTCTTCTCCTCTCTTTCTCATTGCTTTTTTTTCTCTGTTTCTGTTATTTAATATTTACTTTTCCTCGTTACAACAAAATTAATGAGAGATTTTTTTCAATCCGGAAATTATTAAACTTTCAACTGATATTTAAAATGGATAATCGCACATAACTACATATATTTACAATTTTATATACACAATCACATAACTCTCTATATTCTTTTTTAAGTAGTTGGTGTTACCATAAATTACATTTAACAGAAAATAACAAAGGTTATTTATAGTTCATGTAATCGTTTATCCATCCACAAATAAAAAAAGATAAATTTAATATTGCAATCGAAGCAAAAAATAAAAACAAAACAAAAAAAACAATAATTATTGTCCAGAGACCACTAATATTTGAGATAAAGTGAAAAAAAAACCAATAACAAAAATTTGAGAAAAACTACAAAAAAAAAAAAAACTATAATTCTTCACTCATCAATCCTAACCGAGAGCATTAAGACTTTTAACACAGCATCAAGCATCTCCCGCAGGTGTTATCTAATATTGTAGTTAAAAAGGTACACAGGTGAATATTTGTGTAAATTATGTGGGTATGTGTTTTTCTTTTACCTTATTTTTTCGTCATTTAATCATTAATTTTTGTATAAGTATTTTTCTTTATCGCATTGTTTTTGTTTTGTTGTATAGGATATGCACTAAGAGTAAACTTGCAGATTATAAATCAATAGAGTAGCACATTTACCTTAAACATTTTCTGCCATTCAAACACTTCTTTTATTTTAAAGTATACGTAGTTAATGGTAAATAAATTGTATTATTCTCTTAAGATATTTCTCTCAATAAAATTTATCCTCCTTTTGCATACATTTAGGATGAAAACTTAAATCTTAAGAAGCATTAGTAATTGTAATGATAGAAGTCATCGATTTGTTAGATTAGTTAAGATAAAAAGCGAGATTGTCTTATAAAAGTCATTAAACATCTTTACATTGAGGGGGGTGAGAGGGAAATAAATAAAAACACTCTTCTGAAGAAAGAATATTTTCTTTAAGATTAACTATTGCTCTTATGATGAAAACCGACATATAGATGATGAAAATTGTTAGAAATGCGCTTAAAAACTAAAAGTAATTTTTAAAACGAAAGATAATTTTTTTATTTTTGCTCAGGAATTTTATTTGAAAATTGCTTTATTTCAAGATAAATTTCTTCAAATACTTAATTATCCTGAGTTCAATATTGAATATGAATGTCACTTTTTGTGGTATGTCTACACCATCAGGGTCATTACAAAAAAAAAAATTAAAAAATTGTAAAATTTGAGTGAAAATTACGCACAAGTCCAGTAACTATCCCAATCAAATTTGGTCTCGATTAATTAATTAATTCAAATTTAATGCTTAAATAAAATTTTTCAAATTCTTGTAAGCCGAAATGCAGATTGAAAATTAGATGCTAGCTTTGAGTAGCTTTGGTGCAAAAAATATAATTTTTGTTTCTTAAATTTTTCTTGAAATTTTAAACTTTATAATATTGTTAATTTGGCTAATGAAACTAGTAGATATCTTCAAAAAATATTGATATTTTGTAAAAAAACTTGACTTTACAAATAAAGCTCCTGTCATGTCATACTTTATAGTTAATTCGTATACGTCCCTGACAATACCGTAAAAATACTGTTTTTATAACCGGCTTTTTGTTTAATTTTTGTTTTTATTTCTAATGATTTCTATTTTTCCGATTTTGTAACTTAAAAAAAAAAACCAAAAAAAAAATTAATTGAACCTGCAAAACTTTTTTTTTCACTCATTT